CCTTCAGATATTTATATGCATTGATAAAATTCTTTCCAATCCCCCTCCCCCAGCCTCCTTTTTTCCAGGCTAAACAATCCCTGCCTTTCCTCACATAGAGATGTTCCACTCTCTTCATCATTTTACTGGCCCTTTGCTGGACTAACTCCAGTAGCTGTATATCTATCTTGTACTGGGGAGCCCTGAACTGGACACAGTACTCCAGGTGAAGCAGCCCCAGGGTTCAGTAATGAGAGAAGATCACTTCCCTCCAACATGCTGGCACCACTCTGCCTAATGCACCCAAGGAGACCATTGGCCTTCTGGGCCACCAGGGCACACTGCTGCCTCATGCTTAACTTGTTGTCCACCAGCAATCCCAGCTCCTTCTCTGCAGGGCTGCTTTCCAGCAGGTCAACCCCCAGCCTGTACTGCTGCAGGGGGTTCTTCCTCCCTAGGTGCAGGACCTTGCACTTGCCTTTGTTGAACTTCAGGAGGTTCCCCTCCGCCCATCTCTCCAGCCTGTCCAGGTCCCTTTGAATGGCAGCACAGCCCTCTGGTGTATTAGCCACTCCTCTCAGTTTTGGATCATCAGCAAACTTGATGAGGAGGCACTCTGTCCCTTCATCTATGATGAATAAGTTAAACAATACTGGACCCAGTATTCACTCCTGGGTACACAGCTAGTTGCTGGCCTCCCACTAGACTTTGTGCCACTGATCATAACCCTCTGAGCTCTGCCATACAGTCAGTTTTCAATCCACCTCACACTCTGCTCATCTAGACCCTCTTTCATCAGCTTGCCTGTGAGGATATTATGAGACAGCATCAAAAGCCTTACTGAAGTCAAGAGAGACAACATCCACTGCTCTCCCCTCATCTACTCAGCCAGTCACAGAAGGCTATCGGGTTGGTTAAGCATGATTTCCCCTTTGTGAATCCATGCTGACTACTCCTGATCACCTTCTTGTCCTTAATATGCTTGGAAATGGTATCCAGGATGCACTGCTCCATCACCTTCCCAGGGATCAAGGGTGAGGCTGATTGGCCTGTAGTTCCCTGGCTCCTCCTTCTTGCCCTTTTTGAGGACTGGAGTGACATTTGCTTTTTTCCAAGTCCTCGGGCACCTCTGCCGAGTGCCATGACCTTTCAGTGATGACTGAGAGTGGCCTTCCGGTTATACATTACCTGCCTAAAGCAATCCCAACCCTCAGAACGCACCACCAGGTTCACAGACACCACATGTCCTATAGCAATGACACTCATATGGACTCATGGTACCAAAGAGTTGATCAGGGAACCATAGGCCAAATGCAGAAAACATGCAAAGATTTGCAGGGCCTCCCTGGATTGTGTATCATGCAACACACACCCATGAGCTAGAGGTTCAGGAGCTGCTGAGCTTAACCTTTAAGAGCAGCAGCTTAGTACTAATTATGAAACCAGAAGAAATACTTGCCCTAGGTCCTTGTGCTCTTCCAGCATATCAAAGGCACAAGCTTACTGCTTAATAGCCGGACAGTGTGGTCCTGCTCAAAAGGTCCGCACAAAGGAGTAGCCAAAGGACAGCACAGGAGATGCTTCACTCATCGCTAGGATGGAGATCAGCAGAGGGGAGGGGGACTACACAGGGACAGATACAGACTGGTGGAGGTATGCTGAAGGTAGCCAGAGCAGGCTCAGAGCTTAGCCAGGGAAGGCTCACCATCTGTGCTTCTCTTGCAGGGTGACTCTGGTGGGCCCCTTGTTTGCGAAGATCCATCTGGCAAGTTTTTTCTAGCAGGAATCGTGAGCTGGGGAATTGGATGTGCTGAAGCTAGGCGGCCTGGGGTTTACACCCGTGTTACCAAACTCAGAGACTGGATCTTTGATGCTATTTCTGCCTTCCCCACCTCCGTAACACATACTGTCCCACTAATACACCCCAGCACTAATAGCAACATGGTCACCTCTGAAGATCTCAGCAACACGACGACTGGAGCAACCCCCAGCATTTCACCAGCCTCAGCTGCCAGCAAGACACCTACTGTTTCCAGGCCACAAGGTACAAGGTGGCCACAGGGTGGGTGCAACAGGGCGAAAAGAGTGGCTGGTACAGGTCCAAGTGTAGGGTTTACTCTTCTGAGATGAAATAACCTTCATCAGGGTGACACACAACCCTCAGCTGAGTGCTAAAGGCCAAGGCTGCCCCAGCTCAGCCCAGAGCAGAGTTACTGCTGGTCAAGTTACTTAATACTTGTGCAGACAAGTTTCATGGGCTCACTTGCTTATGCGACTGAATGTGTAATTTTGTACCCAGCACCAGGGTCCAGCAGGCCCAGGACACCTGGGAGATGCAGGGTACTAAGACTCACCAGTGTTTGATGCTGCTTAACATGTTGATCAGACATTCACTTCTCTTTGCCACCCAAAGATTTCCCAGAAGTTCAAATTCAATGTCTGCAACTTCACAGCAGCTACGCAGCTTCTCATTGAGGGCAGGTTTCTACCAGAAGCCCTCTCAGCAGCTCTGCAGGGAGACATAAATTTAGGGAATTTTTCTAAATTGAGGATTAACTTTCTATCTGGAATGGCAGGGCTAAGGGGCACAGAGCTGCTGATTACTCTACCTTCAAGAGAAGCACAGGCTTAAGGGCTTGCCAAGAGCAAGTCTCAGAAAAGCAGTTAGGGTGAAGGCCATGTATGGTTGTACACAGAAATCCCCAAGATCGGCAGGTATGGCTTGGGCAGATGCCTCAGACTTTGGCCCTGACTTGTCTCTGCCCAGACTTACCAGTTAGAGAAAGCAAAAGTCACTCCTTACTTGTCTTCTGCTAGGAGTACTCACAAGTCATGCTTTGGCTATTGTTCAGAGTGCGGAGGACGACCCGGGCTCTCCAAACCCAGCAAGATTGTGGGAGGAATGGATGCTTCCAGAGGAGAGATCCCCTGGCAAGTCAGCCTGAAAGAAGACTCAAGGCATTTCTGTGGAGCCACCATAATTGGGGATCGCTGGCTGCTGTCAGCAGCTCACTGCTTCAATCAGTAAGATCCCATCCCTGCTAGGGTAGGGGTGGGTGGCAGTGCCTGTTGCTGGTTTTTTCCAGTTTGCTCGGCCATTGGCACAGACCTGCAGCCAAAAGCACAGCTGTGGCAGTGGTGTCACCAGTGAAATACAATAGCACACACTGGACATCAATTTTTATCATGGCTAGAGGTTAATTGTAAAAGGGATTTTGTGGAGAGGCTGGGATGAGGCAGGGAAGAGTTAAAATGGCCTGGACAGGGAGTGAGGACAACATACCTGGCAGGGGTGGCAAAGGACAGGCTCCATATGACAGTTTCTTAAAAAAAAAAAAAGTAACTGTTCTATGAGGAAAAGACCCCTATATAGTTTTTTTTTTTAATTGCTCTAATACAGGAAATACAGAAATACATGATCAGCTGTTACAGCAGAGATGGTCAGTTCAATCCTGCTTGGATCCGTTAAAAAGCAAGAGCCCACAGAGTCATAAATGACCTGGTAAAGGAAATGAATATAGAAGAGGACAGTGTTTATAGAGAATAAAAATTCCCAAAGGCAGCACAAGTGGGGAACCAGCTAGGAAGAATATCAACAGGACCTATGTATTAAGTATCTGGGCAATAAAATGGCAGGTGAAATCCAAGGCAGGCAAGTGTAAAGAGAAGCATACCGCAAAAAAGCAGTGCTACCTATCTGAAGATGATGAACAGCTCTCCATCATTTTTTACTACTCAGAAAAAGAGGTGAGAAATACTGTGGATATTGCAATGAGAACAGCAGCTCCATGCACAGTTGCAATCAAAGAGCAAGTGAACGCTAGTAATTACTAGAATAGCAACTGAGATCACCAGTATGTTGCTGCACAGATCCACAGCAGACATACAGCTTAAATACTGCATGTAGTGCTGGGATATCACATTGAAAAGAGGATAACAGAAGGCACAGAGGGAATCCAGGTGTGGAACAGCATCCTTAACAGGCATGACAAAATAGATCAGACTAGATTTGGGAAAAGAGACAACTGGGTGGGGATCGTATGATAGGGTCTATAAAATTATGAATAGCATAGAATAAGTGTTTAGGGAATGCCTTCTTACTGTTTTTATAAGATATCAAATGAAACCATCAAGAGCAGGTACAAAACAAGCGAAGGAAAGCAGTTCTTCATAAACGTCATTAAGCTGTGGAACACCTAATCATGAAAAGTGGCAGACGTTTAAAAGTTTACATGGGGTTAAACAAACAAACAAAACGCAACTCCAGAAAAATTCAAGTTAAAAAATCCATCAAGGCCTACTGCATAGAGACATCATCTGTGTCTCCTGAAATAAAAGATTCCCGGAGGCTTGGAGAGCATTACTACATGCTTATCTGCTCTTCAGGAGATGTTCACCATGCACCACTGTTGGTAACAAGTTCTTTAGGCCTGACTCCTTAGAGCCACTCTTGTGTGTGCTGGGCTCTGCTTTGGTAAAGTAATATTTCAAACACTGATCTTTTAAAGTTGCCTGTGATTTAAACAGTTAATGAGCTCAGAATTCATGCTAGGCACGTGGGTGTGAGCATGTATGTTTAGGATTATATATTTGCAGGACAAAGCTGCAAGAGATCAAAGCCTACGTGGGAACTACATCACTAAACGGAACAGATGGGAACACAGTGAAGGCCAATGTGACAAGAGTGATCCAGCATCCCCTCTTCAACCCTATCATTCTGGACTTTGATGTTGCTATACTAGAGCTGGCAAGACCCCTTGTCTTCAACAAATACATCCAGCCTGTCTGTCTCCCACTTGCTGTGCAGAAGTTTCCTGTTGGCAAAAAGTGCATGATTTCTGGGTGGGGAAACACCCAAGAAGGCAATGGTAAGCAGTGATGCTTTACCAGTTCATTTGCTCTGGAGCACTGACAGATTCAGCAGCAAAGTCCGTACCACTGTGACCCAGAAAGTCCTGGGAGCACACATGAGCCTGTAACAGGGACAGTCAGGAACTCACAGGAACACAGGAGCCAAAGGCGAGAGTAAGGATGTGTGGAACACTACCTTAAGTTACAGTTATTTAGAAGCTGCCATTAAACAAGGAAATGGAGATATCAGCTTGGAAAGAAACAGGAGTAACCAGCTGGGATCCCCTAAATAGTTCTCCCGTACTAGGCAATGGTGGATCACTGCCTCAGTGGCCTCCTGTGGATTCCCCAGCAGGACAGTAGGTCTGTCTCAGTGACCAGGCACAGCTTTATCACAGAGATGTTCCAAGCAGATGTTCCAGGTATGAAACTGCACCCTGGTAAGCCAGGAGCTTCAGGGCTGCAGAGACAGTTAGCTCCTCTCTGGGATTAGTCTGTTTTTCAGAAGTACATGTTGAATCAGTCTAAAAGCCTTTAGCTCCCACTTCCCTCTGCTGCACCCACTAATCCCTTTGTTTTCTTGCAGTCACCAAACCTGGGAGCCTGCAGAAAGCCTCTGTAGGCATTATAGACCAGAAGACCTGTGACTTCCTCTACAACTTCTCCCTCACTGACCGGATGATCTGTGCTGGCTTCCTGGAAGGGAAGGTAGACTCATGCCAGGTAAGAGTCTGATGTTTCTCCACTCCTCCACAGATTGCTCCAGAGAGCTGGACTAATTCACAGTTTCAGCATTGCCTTGGAAAATCTTTACTGAGCTGCTGTGGCCAAGTTGTAATCCACATGTACCTAACATCAAAAAAGAATGGCCTGCTGCCCTGGAGCTTGAGAAAGGTAAACGAAGCTCCATCAAGTTGAGCATGACTTCAGCCAGAATCTTGCTGCTCCAGTTTGGGAAAAGTGGTGCTCTGGGCAAAATAGTCTCTCCTCCTGTGGCAGTGAGACATAGTGGTAGTTGTTGGCTGCTCTCCTTCACTCATAGAAAGTTGCTGCCAGGAGCAGTTAACTTTCATGCCAAATGCCATTGCGCATGTGTGTGACCAGGTTAAGCCACTGACCCTAGTTTCAGCCCCTGTTCACTCATGTCTTGCATGCACTGCGTGGGAGCAGACAACCCCTCAGGGCTGGGTGGGAGATCTTCAGAGACTGGGGAGAGGGGAACTGTGGGCTAGCTAAGCCCTCCCAGTGTGGCTGAGGAGCTCCAGGCAGATCTGTCTTGGGGAAGAGTGGGCTGAGCAGTCATTGTCTTGCTTCTCCCTCAGGGAGATTCTGGTGGGCCCTTGGCCTGTGAGGAAACTCCAGGAGTGTTCTACCTGGCCGGCATTGTGAGCTGGGGAATTGGATGTGCCCAGGCTAAGAAACCTGGAGTGTACTCCAGAGTTACCAAATTCAAAGACTGGATCCTGGATACCATTGCACAGTTGTCCGGTCCAGGCACAGGCACCTTTTCCAGTTCAGCCATCACCAGAGCTTCCACTGCAGCTATCCTCACTCCGCAGCCTAGCACAACAGCTACAAGCCCAATCAACACAACCACCCTGAGGATGAAGACCACCACAACCAGGAAAGAAACCTCCACAGTTCCGAAAACAATTGGGCCTGCCAACCCCACCCAAACCCCAGGTAAAAGTTCACTGACAACCAATTTATCGACATGCTGGTAGGTGACCTTCAGTCCCTGGCATGGGGGCTACTAAGCAGGCCGTGGGTTATTGCCTTCCAGTGGTGCCTTGTACCAGCCTTACCTTCAAGTGCTCCAGTAAGGTCTGCATTGGAAAAGCAAATCCCGAATGTGATGGCATTGTTGACTGCAGCAACGGCTCTGATGAACGCAACTGTGGTAAGTACTCCTTGGCCACATGTGACTGCTGCTGACCCTTATCCCACAATACTCAGATTCCACAGTGCAGCCCTTGTACACTTCGGTCCATCAATCTCACATGGGTTGTCTCAGGTCCCAAGTTGTACCACTAGGATCCTGGGCCAGCCTTTGCTCTGGGGCTCTTAGTTTGTAAGAGTCAGGAGATAAGCAAGATAAATCTGGGCAAGGGCGACACAAATTTTCTGGCAGGGAAAGTAGCTTCTTCTTTTCTACAAACAACTGTCCAGTTCCCCAGCATGTGGACCTTCTGCCCAGCCAGTCCACTAGTACAAGTTGGCATAACAACCCTGCAGAACAGGGCAGCCCAAAAGACACGTCGTGCCGTCCCCAGGATTGCTCCTTGGGCTGCACTTGCTTGCACCCTTGCTCTACAATGGCTCAGTCAGCCCATCCAAGTTTCCCCTCCTCACATAGCAACTCCCCAGAAGATGCGATGTGTGATAACAAAGAAAAGCTTCCACACCATACCACATCTGCCAAGCTTTGTCACAGCCAGCTAGTAGAGATTCATCACGCTCTACTGCCCTGTCTATGTCTCCCCAAAAGGCTGCCCCATGGCAGGAGCCGTGGAAGGACAGACCTCCCTCGTCACTTACAGTTACTTAGTACACTGTTGCCTCTTTTTCTGCCTCAGACTGTGGCTTAACTACTGCTCTGGTCTTCAGCAAGATCGTGGGAGGCAGCACTGCAGCTCGGGGAGAATGGCCATGGCAAGTCAGTCTCTGGCTTCGGCGGAAGGAGCACAAGTGTGGGGCTGTCCTCATTGCTGACAGGTGGCTGCTCTCTGCAGCTCACTGCTTCGATATGTAAGTCTGAAATGGGCTGGTAAAGCCTGCCTGTCCTTGGCCTCAACCCCATCTGCCCACTTGCCCTTCCCCTTCCTTGCAGTCTAGCACCACAGCTGGGAGGCTGTGCCCCACTGGAAGCACACACTGCTTACCAGAGATGTGCCCCTGGAGGTAAGTCCAAAGAGGAAAGGCTATGTCTACTGTATGATGGAGCTAGGGGCCTTGGCCTCACAACTTAACGGCATCCCAAGCCCAGAGCAAGTGGGAGAATGGCACTTTCTGCTAAGCCATGCTCCTAACAGCCAGGTTTGCTCTCTTTCTGCAGTTACAGTGACCCCAAAATGTGGGTGGCCTTTCTAGGAACACCCTTCCTGAATGGCATCGATGGGAAAGTAGAAAAAATATTCCGCATCTACAAGCACCCTTTCTACAACGTCTACAGCCTGGACTACGATGTGGCACTTCTAGAGCTCAACATGCCTGTCAAGTTCAGCAGCACCATCAAACCTATATGCCTCCCAGATAATTCACATATTTTCCATGAAGGAGCCAGATGCTTCATCACAGGCTGGGGCTCCACAAAGGAGGGAGGTACTGGCTGAGAGGGCTCCTTCACACACAATGGCCATGCTAAGTGCTATCTACCCTGTGACCCTGTGGGCCCACAACTCCCACTCCACTGCCCCAGGACCATCCATGCCCAGCTGTACCCTGCAGGGGATACCAACCTGGGAAAGGTCTGGTGTCACCACAATCTTCTCTCCAGCCAGCATGGGCTGCACATTATGTCTCTACCCTCTTGTAGTCTTCCCAAGCTCTCTACATGCTAGCCATCACACTCCCCCATCCCCTGGAACAGCTGTGCTCCCACAGTATGAGGGCCACCCTTGCTCTGCTGGGGAGGATCCAGGCCTGACTCACTTTCCCAATGCAGATCTCTCCCTCTGACAAGAAAGTCAGGCAGCAGAGACCCCACTCCCACATATTCTGCAGTTTTTCACATGCTCAGCACGAGGCTAACAGCAATCACTTGCCTCCTCAGGTCTCATGTCAAAGCATCTGCAAAAAGCAGCAGTGAACATGATTGGAGACCAGGCCTGCAAAAAGTTCTACCCTGTCCAAATCAGCAGCAGGATGGTGTGTGCAGGTTTTCCACAGGGCACCGTCGACAGCTGCTCAGTGAGTGTGAGAGCAGCTAATGCTGCTGCTGGGACAGGGCAAACTTGTGGCAAAGTTCCCTGGCCACATTCTCTCAGGAGTGCCTTGCCCTGCCTCCCTAGCTCAGCCATATCTGTCCCTCCATCTCCACTGCCTGTTGCTTTCATTTGACTCCATCCTGCACGTACCTTGTTCTGTGACAAGTCGGGGAAACATACGGAGAGGTAACATCAAGCAAGAGGCCACAGGATAGCACGGAGCCCGTTCTGTGGCCTTGTTGGGCCTCTAGAAATGCTCTTGCATGTCCTAAACCCCCAAGCTCAGGCTGTGCATTCAAGCACATCACTGAGCAGCCATCCAGCTGGGGAGCAGGCTCCTGGGGAGGTGGGGAACAGGACAGTAAATCCTCCCAACATCTCAGAGTTGGGGTGCTGGGCTGGGCTGGCTTGACTGCCTTTTTTGGCTTGACTGCTTTTTTTGGCTTGATACAGGACCCTTTTCATCTCTCTGCAGGGTGACGCAGGTGGGCCCCTGGCTTGTAAAGAACCCTCAGGGAGGTGGTTTCTAGCAGGAATCACAAGCTGGGGCTACGGCTGTGCCAGGCCATACTTCCCTGGTGTCTACACTAAAGTCACAGCTGTCCAGGCTTGGATCGCACAGAACCTCAAGCTCTGAAGCTCCATTCCTCCACTCAGGGAAGGTGACGAAGGAGAGGAGTAATTGCCAGGGGATGCATTAACCCCTCAGCTCTTGCATGTTTTCTTGATTCTGCAAGGGGATGAAGATGGCCTGCAGCTGCAGGTGCTGAGCAAATGCCAGTGTTGTGTGACCCACTGCAGTTTTGACATCAGGGCATTTGATCACTGCTTTGCATAGAGAGGTGCAATTCTAGAGAATTTTCTATAAATAAATGAGGCCTGTCTCATCTTAAGACGTGGCCAAACATTCTATGCATTAAAAACCTGGCCTTTCAAGTAAAGGAGGGCCAGAAACATCAGCCAGACATTCCTGTAGTTTGGCTTATCTCTTGCCTATGAGCTGTCGGTCATCCCAAAGCCAATCCAAGAGACAAGGCCTGAGCCTTGTCCCAGGCCTGAGCTATGCCCTTGCAGAAGCCTTGAACCTCACTGCCTTGATGGAGCTGCCATGTTTTGCAATGGCTTTTGGAAAGGGTGTTTACAGTTTTCAGACTCCATCAAGGCAATGGTAGTTACTATCAAGCTCAATAACGATCCACTGGCTCGCTATCTGATCACAACAGAAGCTAGGACTAAAACACTTGGACTTCAGGCTCTCACCTCTATTAGACAATCAGAACAGGTTTCTTACCTTCACAGCTCCCTCTGATTAAGGGCACAGGTACCTAAATCAACAAAGAATAAGGCATAACCACATAGACTGCTGTTTTGCTTAAGCTAAGTGGAAAGAGTTCAGAGTGCCAAGATACAGGCCCACCAACCCAATACATTCAGTGGAGATTCCAGTCCCATTAACTAGAGTAAGGCACACTGAGACACCTGTGTTCACAGGTAAGAAATGCTGCAGGGCTCATGTGTGTCAGGTCTCACCCAGACTTAGACATCTCCTTGCAGACTTGATCACCTAGGCAGAATGGCAGTCAGTGCCTCAAAGCCCTTCCCAGACTTTGGCACTTCAGCTGTGCATTCAGGTATAGCAAGAGGTTTCTTCTTTCCCAACCCAGCTGGCAGTGAAACCCACCATGTTCCTAGCTAGAATCCTAGCAAGGTGGGAGACCCATCTTCCAAGCATGACTTGGCTTAAGGTGGGTTCAGATCACACAGCTGGAACTTTTGGTGGGATGCCCTTCCCGGCTGAAGCTAGACTGCTGCACAGCCAGTACCTCAAAATTCATGCAGCCATAAAGAAAAGCAAAAAGGCCCTTGAAAGAGCATGGCTGGAAGGCAACTAATTTTCAAATATTTATTTCACCTGATCTGGATGGGAAATTCCAGGTTAGCTTCAAATCAGTCTGAGCAAGCATTTACCTCCTAATAGATTATCTTACATGGGGACATTTTAGTTCCTTTATAGAAACCACCACACTGGAAGATTAAATGATATCACATTCTCCCACATCCCCTTGAACGTCCTAACAGCTAAGGAAAAGTCATCCTCCCAGACTGTGTCTCTCTACTCCAGCAAACAGTGAAATATTTGTGCGAATACAGAACAGCGTCAACAGAAGGCATTTCAAAAATCTCACCATAGAGGAACAGATACTTTTTTTTTTTTAAATCTCCAACAAACTCATCTTCCAGCTGCTGAGTACATTGCCAGTCACAGAGCGTAGACTGCCCACTCCAGGAGAGGTGTGGAGGCTGAGCACAATACACAAGTGCTTATCCCCAAAACAGACCAGAGTCCTCAGCTGCAGAAGTGCTCCTACTCAAAAAATGAAACTTAGAAGACAGGCTCCAAGATAGAACACCTGTGCCAGAGCCAAACTAGAAGTCAGAGTACAGAAAAGCATACTCACATAATACATCTTTTTTCCTATGAAGAACTCAGTCTAAGCAGTTCTCAACCCTTTTCACCCACAGTTTATCACTCCCCAGCGTGCTTGCACAGTTACTTGCAAGGCTGTGCTGCAAACAAGAACATCCCCTGCTCCCCAATGGACTACTTGAGCTGAGTCAAAGCCTACAAGCCCATAAGTAAGCTCCACATACAGCTGTATAAACACAAAGCAGGAGGTAGCAAACTATAGCCTATGGAGCACCTTTAGAGCAGCTTTTCCACTTATGGAAACAGACTGGGTGATGACCCAGTGGTTGGGTTCTTGTTGCTTTCTGTGGAAGGCGATTGCGTCACTGGCTTGGCCTTTCTTTTCCACAGAAGGCTCTTTGCCTCTTGCAGCCCTCTCAGCAGGCATTTATCAGGCACTATGTGCTCTGGCCAGTACGGACTGCCAGGAAGGGCATGAGGCAAATCAAGCAGTTCACAGTGGCTCTCAAGGCTGGAAAATTCATCCACTCCTGGGCTCAGTGCTAATAAAGGCCAAAGGATGCAAAAGATTCAGTGAGGGTTTATTGCTCTGCCACAGCAGGGGTTGGAAAGGTAGCAGGATTTGTCCCCAGGCACATGGACTGGCCACTTGTCCCTTCCCCGCTGGGTCCATCCCTGTTCCTGGAGCTGAGATGCTTCACATGTTGGCTCTCTCCCGCTGCAGCCGGGAGTTGTAGGCTCGGGAAACCGTGTTCCAGGCGTCCATGTACCGGTCCATGCACATGGCGATGCACTTCTGCAGCACAGAGGGCGCTAAGAGGCCGCCCCATAGGGAGCCCCGGAGAGGCTGCCCGCGGGCCCCCTCGTCTCCCCCAAGAACGCTCACCTGCTCCGAATTGTCCAGCGAGCCGCCCGGCTTGCCGATGCACTTCCGAAAGCACTTGTCCGTCATGCGCTGCGGAGAGAGGCCGTGAGAGAGGGCCAGGGGCCGCGTGGGCCGCGGACAAGCCGCTCCCCCCGACCGGGCCGCACCGGCTGGGGGCCCCTCCCCCCCCCCCCGCCCACCCCCCCCCCCCCTGCCACTAGCCTCTCACGCCCTCACGCACAAGGACCTCACAATCACCACTAGAGGAAACATGCCTGGCCCTGGCCTCTCACGCCCTCACACACAACTCCCCTCACAATCACCACCAGCA